GAAGCCACACAAACCTTGAAGTTGCCGAGGAGATTCAGCATGCTTTTCCTTCGCCCCCTTTTCAAACCGAGCCTGCCCGAACTCGGGGGATGCAGCTCTGCATTTGATCTTCTAGGTCGCGGCCTTACTTTCTTTCGGGTTGTTTCTGCTGCACCCCAAGGGCACCAAGGCTGAAACTTTCAATGCAAGGGGCATGTTCTGTAAAGCCGAGCCTCCTGCGGTAAACCCGTAGGGGGACAAAGAAGACCCCATGAACCGCTGGGGCGCGCTCGCGCGCGGGGGGTAGAGCTGGACCGCTCTGCTCCTCTGACCAGTAGAGAGAGAGAGAGAGCAGGGGGCAACCCCTGTCCCTAACCCTGCCGAAAGAAAGAGAGAGACTAAGCAGTGCGCGCTTGCGTGCGCGGGGAGCGACGGCTCTTGCTTTGGCTGTGTGGAAGAAGAGAGAGGGTGTGTGTGTGTGTGTGGGATCAGGAAGAAATAGAGAGTGTGTTGCCATGGTTGCTCAATCAGAAGGCCTGGCATTCATCACTAGCAGGAAGTAATATACAAGGCGAAACAATTGCACAGTTCTGTTGCAGCTGCAACGGAGTAGTCCACGGCTGTCGGAGTAATCGTAGCAAAACTCGTGAGCGCCGCAAGTCACAGTCAAAGAAGCAACAACAGTCTAAAGTAAAGCCCAGCAGAAGTGGAGCCTGAAGCCAAGGGTGCCTAGCTCAAGAACACGACTCCAAGCCCTTGCCGCACCAAAAGCCCCCAAGTGCACGGTCCCGGAGACTAGCAAAGCTGGAAAGTCTCGCTCTTCTCAGGACTTGGTGACAGCTTTGGCAGAGCCCACGAACCAGAAGCACACCCAGGCAGGGAGCTTGCCGGGACAATTGCAAAGTTGTGTGCATGTTGCCGCATGGAGACATGTGGATCATCCCACATGTCTCCAGTCGCGCCTCCACACTGTGCGACTATACTCAAGAGAGTGTAAACGAATCGTCGGGCGGTGTCTCCTGCCGGTTGGTATGTCCGTAACGCCGCAGCAATCGCTGGTCAGAGCGTGAAACCAGCAGCATTCGACAGCACTGCGGGGCCAGGATGTGCTGGCGAGAATGGGAAATCAGACATTTATGTCTCTGATTGATGCCGCCGGACGCCAAGTGAGCAGCTTGCAGCACGCCTTTCGCAGCAGAGCATTTGTCCGAGCGGTTCAAAACTGACTTCCAGGCATCCCTCTCTCTTCTGATGCCCATCGTTGTTCGAGGACTCAGGCCCGGAGTGCTCTTATATTCTGTAGGGTTTAGGGTTTAGGGCGACGCAAGCCCTAGACTAGGCCACGTTGCTCCCTGCTCTTCTCTTCTACAGGGTCTCCGACGACAGGACAAGTATGCCAGATGCCCAAGCCACATCAACCCCCCCTAAGGCCCTAAGCCCTAAATCCTCAATCCCTCTAGACTCTCAAACCTCTTGAGCCCTGCATCTTTAAACCTTCTGAACTGTCGAAGCCCTAAGCCAAAAGAAGTGCTGCTAGGGAGCGAGAGCCAGCCAGCAAGAAGTGGTCTGCTCAGATCTTCGGCCCGCCCCCGAGATCTCTCTGTTTGCTTAATCACCGTTTCTAGCAGGAAGGGAGGACAAACCTTGGAGATGCACATATGAAAATAGTACATAGTCTACATAGTAAAAGAAGCATAGTATTTAGGAAGATGGCAGGGATCAGCATCAAACGAGAGTAGGATGACCATAGCATGGATAGGCATAACACGAGAGTGCAATCGACAGTAATCCCGTTTTAATGTCAGTAGAAGAGTCAGTACAGAAGTGGACACAGCAGCAGGCTAAGTTGACATCGGCAGAAGCACTCACTTTTGATGTAGCCTGTGGTATTTTGCTAGAACTCAAATCCGATGCTGTTGCTTTCGGAGAAGAGTGAGGCCTCAGCTGTCTCCGCCGGAGCGGTATCTGTTTCGTGCGTTTTGTGTCACATGCTTGCATCAAGGATCCACATCGCAGTTGGTACAGAATGCTCCCATCTCAGTCGTTCAGTCATATTGCATGTAAGCTCAGTTGCTGAGATTCTGGATTTTACACCAAGCCAACTCTCGAAGCTAAAGCGGTGACGGGCCAGACTGAAGAATGCATGGTGAGGTAGATTTCATGAAGCCTTACCTGCCGATGGTTGCCCGCTCCTCAGCCGGTGTCGTCCTAGGCCGTCCAACATAGGGGTCTAAATGATAGGGTCCCCCTACTAGTATTGGAAGTGTAGTATAAGATACTAAAAGTTTCCAGAGGATCAAGGGCTGGTTGTCTCATCTAGAATAGCGTCTGGAAGCCTATAATAAGCCTACTAGACCCCCACAAGCGACCACAGGTAAAGTTGAAGTAATCAAGCCCCATTCGCCCTAAACCCTAACATCTGAAACAGACGTTCCTTAAGACCTTTCAGGCTGACGGAAAAGGGCATTCAACAAAAAGACTGAACACCCAAACCTTCACCAAACCCTCACAGCTAAGCAGCAAAAATCCCAAGGCGCCCATGCTGGAGCAGGCTTTGTTCGACCCCGTGTCCGAGGCACCCATGCTACAAGAAGCTGGATGCTATTCTAGTATTCTGTGCGGGTAGTTCTTCAAATTGGGGTGACTCTTAGAGTCCTTGTTATACAGGTGCCGTACTATTTTGTGGACCTAGAAAGGGATTCTGATTTAGAGAACCACCCATATGATACATATGCTATAATGCTATACTAACCTATGGTGGTGTCTGTTTTTGCAGCGGCACTAGCACTTTTCCGATTGTGACTATGAAGGTGACTTCTTGCTTGCACGCGCGCCTCTCACAATGCATTGTAGTGGCTGGCCCCTCGCTTCTTTGAGGGCTGGTTGAGGAGGGAAAAACCTGTCAAGCCTCGTTTGGAAGCCTTGAGGCCTAGGGTTGATAGGTTTAGGGTGTAATTAGGGTGGAATCTTTTTACCCAGTAGTCGTGTTCGAACGCCTTTGAACCCCGAGCCCTACAAGCTCACAGTGATGCGGTCGATGATATAAATCCTGCATTACTTTAAGGACCTTAAACTATGGGAATTGTGGGGTTTTCCTGATTATGGGTACTGCAGGGTTTATGTCATCAACCGTAGGTCAAGCGCGAAGCGGCCAAGACCTTCGGCGTCATGGAACAGGCCACAGAAGACTGTAGCTATAGCATTTGTGGAATATTGCAGTATGTTGCAGTAGAAGAATTTGCAGTATTATAGTATGTTTGTTATAGTGATTATCACAATCGTGGTTCTTCTTGGCAGCCGCTGGATGCGATTGCTACTTTCTGATGTTGTCTTGATTACTGCAATCTGTGGCCGGGTGAGAAAATGTGCATTTCCTCACCACCCCTCATTATCCTTATCGCATTCATCTTCGCTTGCGCTCTGATGCGATGGCTTTGTTCGTTTCGCTTTTTGGCAACCGGGGAACAGAGGTGAAGACTCAAAATTTCAGTTTAGGGGTTGAGGGTTGAGGTTTCGGGTTTGCGTTTTTTCACTGTTTTGTTTTGTAATATACAAGGCGGAGCAATTGCACGGCAACAGAGTCCACGGCCGTCCGAGTAATCGTAAGAAAACTCGTGAGCACCGCAAGTCACCGTCAAAGAAGCAACAACAGTGTAAAGTAAAGACCAGCAGAAGTGGAGCCTGAAGCCAAGGGCGCCTAGCTCAAGAACAAGACTCCAGACCCTTGACGCACCACAAGCCCTGAAGCTCGAAAATCAACATGAGCTGATGCTTCAGTATACAGCCGATAAATTTCCGCATGGCCTGGTGTGCGGGAAGTTTAGGATTTGAGGTTTAGGATTTGGGGTTTAGGCTTTAGGATTTCACTGATCTCTGAAAGGTGTTGCCCCAGTACTCGCAGCAGAAGCTGCAGCCATGGCTCTTCGGAAAACTCCGGGCAGGCTGAATAGATGTATCATCATTGCTATTATGACTATTATTTCTGTTATGTTTATTACTATGTTTATTCAAGAAGGGGATCTTGGGACTTAGGCAGCAGGCTGTTCGTAAGGTTACAAATCGGGGGCAAGGGAAGACCATCTACTGTGAGGATTGGGGTGCTTCGAAGGGAACCGTGTCGTTTAGGGTTGATCAGCACCTTTTACCACGACTGAAAGGTTGTTTCTCTCGTACAGCAGCAGCGTAGTAATATGGAAGCCTGAATACTTACTAGTTCCCTGTACAACTATATTAATAGATTTAATAGATATTATTAAGGTCTTGTTGTATACCCCAAAGCCCTGTAGTGATTATTAAGGGTCCTCTACTAGGTGGCTCAAGCAGCCTCTCCTCGACTGCCAGGCGAGCAGGCGGAACAGCGCGAGCCCCAGCCGTGGAGCGGCGTCGATGTTAGCGATATAAATAGACTACAATATACTGCTAGATTATACCATACTATACTATACTTACGATAAATTATCCTGTGCCATACTGTACTATAAATATTCTATCATCTACTATCATAGAGTGTTAGCGGCTGGGCCTTTCGGACTCGAGGTTCGGAGGCTGATGTTGGGGTTTTTAGTTTTGGACTTTTAGGGTTTAGGGTTTAGGCAGAAGCTGTAGGCAGTCTGTGGTGAGTTTGGTGCTGTTTCTCACCACTGCTCGAGCGTTGCTACGAAGGAGACTTGCTCGTGTTGCAGCCACAGCTGCCCTGGCAGACCAAGACGGATCAATGACAAGACCATGCGCAAGATAGCGCAGCCGAAGAAGGGTTGCTCATGTACTTTAAAGATGTTTCCGGTATATATGCATTCCGAAAACCTCCCGACAAGCTTCGACCTGTTGTAGTCACATTGTAGTCTTGCATTGAGCTTGGCCTGCAGCCTCTGCAGCACCATGGCCTCCATGAAGGAACAGGTCCTGAGCTGGGCGCTTGCAGCATCGAGGTTCCCACAGCAAAACAAATCAAGTATCGGGTTAGACATGCAAGTCGAGTCCTCGCACAGGCATGGAGACAGCTGGTGGCTTCCGTTCGTGCTGCTGGCAGCAAGCAACTCAGCGCTGCTTTCCGGAACGGGACTGCTACTTCGTGTAGCCACGAAGCGCCGAGGTCTGCACCGTGAATTCCATCACTGGTGGAGTGCTCACTTGGTCCGTCGGGATGATCCAGAGCCTTGGACTCTAAATGTCCACAGTCTTTGCTGTTTTGCCTTATGCCAGGGCGGCTTCAGCGGGAATCTCGCCACTTTTTTTCGCAATGTTTCAGCAAACAGCTGTGTTACTTAGTGGGTCTGCGAGCCGTAGACTCTTAGACACACATAGATATCCGTCTTGCCATAGAAGACTGGTGCTGAGAGGTGCCGAGACCCGGGGTTGATGTAGTAGTTGCCGGGGAAAGTAGGGGTTGCTGGATGGTCCTTGGTTTTGTTTTCGAATGGGTGCTTCTAGCAAGCTGCCTCAATGCCTGGGCGACCCAGGATGCTGCTCTTCAACATCATCGCAGCTCGGCAGCTGCTTGAAAGTCCCCACCCTGCAAAACGAACGGCTGCTTGCTGCGAGACCTCCAGGTGCTGTCCCGGAAAAAGACATTCTTCATCGCCCCGCTGATGCTGAGCATCGGTTCTCTGATAGCTGGCTACTTCTACGTGGAGATAATGACCCTCGGAGAATGGGTTGGTTGCAGGCATCGGCTGCTGTCGTGTGTACAACATCAACCACAACCACAACCAGCACCCCCACAACAACAGCAGCAGCAGCAGCAGCAACAGCAACAACAGGAGGCCACATCCGCAGCAACCACGACAACAACATTCACCGTCACAGCCACAACTACAACCACAAGCAGCGTCAACAACAGCAACAACCACGTTTGTGCACTGTCGTGATGATCGTTTGCTCGCTTGTTTCGTGCTACTCTTGCGGTACTACCATCTTTTGAACGGTGCCACAATGGTAGAAGTTGTGCTTGTGGTGGTTTTGGTAGTACTAGTAGCGGTAGCAGTAGTAGCACTAGCAGCAGTAGCCTTCGCAGCAGTCGGTAGTAGCTGTAGTAGTAGTCGTCGTGGTGGTGGTGGTGGTGGTAGTGGTAGTACTAGCAGCCCGAAGCCCTCTGCAAGGAGCGCCTGGTGTCCCGAAACCTAGAGCTCCGGCCATGTGACATGCGAGCCTTCTTTGTGATCCCTGTCTAGGTGGAGTGTAGGAGACCCCAGTCTACTGAATGAATGCAGTTCCTTTTCCTTGGTGAAGCTTGATGCATAAGAAGTCGAGGGTCCCAACTGAGAGTCCGATCCCCGAGGAAATCGGAGGGCCAACGAGCACTGCTGGCAAAGGTCCGGGGTTTTAATTCTCGAGTTTATGGCAGTTTGACAACTATCGTTCGCAACTTTTCCTCTAAACACTCATGAACCTAACAAGGTCGGAGTGATTGCCCACATTGTAGCCCTATGCCACTATACTAAGACTGCACCATAAGACATTCCGAGACCTTGTGATAATCATTGAGAGCCTTATTTTTTTCACACGCCAACACGGTGAAGCTGGAACGTTCCGGCCGAAGGGGTAGATGAAAGAGATTGGTAGGAGCATTGAGCCTGTATCAATTTCCATTAGGACCATTAGGAAGCACCAGACACTCCAACCTCTACAAGGGTTATCATGTTCGAATCCGTAGCCCTGTCGAGAAACATCAACACACCCTGCTCCTAACCTATGAACGAAGCCCGTAGACACCATGGACTCCGGACGACCCAACTCAAACAACATTGGCAACAAGCGCGCCATTAACAGGCAGCAAGCGTCGCTGTGGCCATGTCAGCAAGTAATCACAATACCAGACCACTGACACACAAACTATCTATCTACCTATCTATCTACCTATCTACCTGTCTATCTATTTATATATCTATCTGTCTATCTATCTATCCATCTATCTGTCTATCTATCTATCTCTCTGTATTTATGGATATAAACACACACACACACACACCCCTCACAGGAGCAATACGATCAGTAGCCAGTGGTCCGAATTGCGGCGAGTAAGAACATAACGAACCGTTGCACTACCATCACTAAACACAGGACTGTCAACAACGTTTCTCACAGCGGCAGTCTTTCAATGCACAGCAACCATACAACACGCCAATCAGCTCAAACAACCTAAGCCGAAGTTGCGAAGCCAGTGAAGCGCTTGATTCCAAAGGCCGGTGTGGAGGATTCGCAATGGCTGGCGAAGGCTTCGTTGTTTCTTCAAGGTCTCAGTATGGCTTTGTGGTTTCAGGGGGAGGAGGGGCTTTGGGGTTCTTAGGACTCTCTTGTTTTTTTGCTTGGGCTTCAGTATACTCGCTTGGTATGCCCATGCTTGTAGGTGGCGAGTCAAGGCTTGCTGTGTTTCGGCTAGCAGTACAGGAAAGTACATTATGTTATAGTACTGTCAATGATATGATCTTACATGGTATTATAAAGATAACGCAGCCGAGACCTACTTTATTTTCGAAGGTCTGCAGATGAAAAGGGCCCAAACTCTGAGCTCCAGCTAAAGCCTGCAGTCTGAATGTGTGCTGCAGCGGTCCGCAGGCACGCGAGTGGGCCAAAGATTGGGGAGTTCTTGGCCTCGTCGGAATGCAGGCATGGGTTGCGGGGGATTGCGGGGGATTTGGGTTTGTGGGACGCGTCGATCAGGGGATCTGTTCGGCTGAGAGCTTGTGATGGCTCCTCCACGCGTCGATCCGTCACATGGGAATTGGGAGCTGTTGCAGCTGAAGCTCTCGATGAGTATGGCACCCTAAACCCCTAAACTCTAAACCCTAATCCCTAAACCTTATCTACCGAGCATGCTCATGGTTCCTGGAATTGCAGGGGTTTGGATAGGGAAGTACGTGTGTTGAAATCGGGCGGGATGCTTTGATGTATCGCATCTTTTCAGTAGGCCGGGGCACACACGCTCGCGTTCGGAGCACATCTCGGTCAAACTTCCAAACCCAACATGTCTTACATAGGCCTCAGAGTTTTTTCCTATGCTTTGATTCCGGTATGCAGGAGCCGGGTAGAGCCAGAACGTGTCAGCAGCCAGGTAGTGCCCATTCCTATTCCGACAGCAGTGATCGTGATTTCCGGCGTGCTTGCTGAGATGGATGGCTTCAAGATTCTTGCAGCTTGATGGGATCTGGTCTCCCTCATTACCATCATTGCTATTATATCATTGCTATGATCATGAGGATGACTGTTAAAGTTATTGCTTTAACGTTATGATTATCATTACTGTCATTGTGATGATTACTATTATTGTTGCTGTTGTTCTTTGTGCGATTAATGTTGCTACCACTGTTGTTACTACTATGATTCGATTTTTTGTCATTACGACTATCATTGCAGTACTCTGATGTTCTGTGCATGTTTGACAAACATTAGTTGTGATTGTCTGCGATATTGCTGTTCTTACTGCATTAGGCTGTAACTCGCAACTGACATCAGGAGCCCCGAAGAGTTTGAACATGGGCTTGGAAGCTGAGGTGACCGTTTTCACCAGCAAGTCCCCTGTCGAAGTGTTCATGCGATGCTGAGGGCAGTGGGTTCTGCGACGCGCGCAAAGAGAGCTAAGCAGCACCAATGAAGTACATGTAGCATGCAGCAAGGCAGCTGTGCTTCAAGGTTCATTCAGCTGACCCTTGGCGCAATCGCGCTGAAGTATGCAACGGAGCACCAAACCCCAGAACAGCCTCTTGGCATTCGTACACGGGGAAGAATCAGGTGCATGTTGCAGGTACGGATGTGGCTGCAGCTGTCATGCACAATTTCTCGTGACGGTTTCAGCGTGGATGTTTTCAATCCCGATCTCCCTGGAGCAATTGCCTGGTTAGGGTCCTTTTAGACTTATAGTATGAAGTACTCCAAACCCTTGTTCTAATCTAATTATGCCCAGGTACATCCGCCAGCAGATGGATGGGGACAAGGCTGCAGAGGCCAAAAAAGATGAGTAAGCCTTCGGTGCCACGCAATGCATGCAGGAACGTAGACTGTGGGAAAGATCCCCAACACTGATTCGAAGTTCGTGGGCTCAGAGCCAGTTCTGGCCCCAAGTAGATCGAAACTCTAACCCGGAGCTTTAGAGAAGCCGCACGACAGCGGAAGCTCCAGGAACACCGAGACGCGGTTCCAAAGAGGAAAACAGAGGCTTCTTGCTTTGGGGGGCGGCTTACGGTTGAGGGTAGAAGTGTCTTTCCCCACCTCTACAGTAAAGCTTAGCTTCCAATTAACAAAGGCTGCTGCTGCCAAGCGGAGGGTTTCCATTGCTGCTTGTTCTTCTTGTTCTTCTTCTTCTTCTTGTTGTTGTTGCTGTTGTTGCTGTTGCTGTTGCTGTTGCTGCTGTTGTTGTTGTTGTTGGTGGTGGTGGTGGTGGTGGTCGTCGTCGTCGTCATCGTGCTCGTCGTAGTCGCCAGTGTTGGCTGTTGGCCGCTCTTCCCCACTTTGCAGGGAGATATGTCGAATCTCGAAGTCTGCATTCGGCCTGCTCTGCTCTCGAATTCGTGGATCTGCATCTTTCCGTCTACGTGCATCTATCTGACTTTCTTGCATGCACAGTGTTGTTCTCTGTACAGGTGCACGACAAGAAGTGCAAATCTAAGATGTGACGATCATTGCTTGTTAATCTGCTTGTCGCCTCCCTTAACCAACGGGCTCCTACACTGCTGTTCTGGTCTAAATGTGTAAATTTTGCCAGCTGGAAACGCCCAAGTCAAGTCGTGCGCCAAAAATAGAACAGTACAGACCTCGTGAGACAAAGGAATGGTGCCGCCCTCGCTTTGGCAGAGACCTTGACGAAGATGGACAAGGTTGGGCCTTTGACACAGCGAGGTCTGCTGTGCGGCATACAAAATGGGGTTGTCTGAGGAGCTAGCAGCGACTTACATCGGAGAGCTCCAAGCCGGGGCCAGCGATGCAAAATGGCAAGTGAGGCATGGGGCGTGCACATGCATGCCACACAACGAATCACCGAGCAAAGACCTTAAATCCACTCCCACATCGCGAAGTCTCTCGCCACCGTGCTTGCTTTGTTGCTTGTTGCTGCAACAGCTTGGCTTGCGGTTTCGGGTAGGGGCAGCCTTTGGAGGGCTCCCGACGGACTCAAGGAGAGGCAATGGACCGCTGGGCCCAGCCTGTGCCGCTGCAAAGACTAGCGGATGTTCCGACTTGGTTCGATAGCTTTGATTCTTCCGGGGTGCCAGGAGCAATGCCCCAAGTGATGGAACCGTGTCAGGCCCCAGGCGCAATGTGGATGATCCGGATGTTCAAGACGCGGCCCTGCAACATTGATGGCGAGCATGACCACCGTTCTTGCCCCTGGTATCACAGCGAGCGTGAGAAGAGACGTCCGGTATTGATTGAAGGCTCTTCTCCAGCCTATTACAGTGTGCCTTGTGAGCTTCGCTTCGACGATGAGGGAATCTGTCCCAGTGGCGACTTGTGCGACCGTTGTCACAGCAACACAGAGCTCCTTTATCATCCTGACCTTTACAAGAAGCGCTTCTGCCACCAACCGCGCAACTGCGCACGTGGTAAGTTCTGTGCCTTTGCACACTCCCGTGAGGAGCTGCTTGCACCGTACTTTGCGCCAGAGGAAGAGAACCATCCGACCGAAGAGTTTATGGCACATCATTTCAAAACGCAGCGCCGAGCTCAGAGTCATGGGCAGACTGTGACCTTATACGTGCAGTCTGCATCATGTAAGCCGAGTAAGCGGTAGAGGCAGACCGGTGTTTGTCAGATTGAGCACTGCGAACTATCTATGCCATTTTTGAGGTGGTGCCCGATTGGTGGCCCACACGATTGGGAGAAGTGTGTCTATGCCCACACTTACCGCGACTTCCGGCGGGTGCCCGCTCTCGGGTATTCTTCGCAGCCCTGTCCGCGCTGGGTATCGAGCACGAAGCTGAATGTTGGCTGCACACAGGGTTTAGGTTTAGGGATTGTTCACCTGTAGCCACAGGGCTACGCTTTTTTTGCTTGACTTGGGTTATGTCATGTGTGCGAATGTATAAGGTATCATGTGCATGAACATGCGCTGCATGGACACCTGCTCTCAAGTACAATGGTCTGCGTGCATTGTGCCGTCTGCGTCTGTGACGTTGCCTAGGAATGCTGCGGACACAGACTACCTGACTCGATGTCCTCTTGGGTTCACCTGCCCGTTGGCACATGGTGCCAAGGAGCAACTCTACCACCCAAGGTTTTACAAAGCCAACCCCTGCAGCGACAGGCACTGCCGGCGGCGTGTGCTCTGTGCCTTTACCCACGGAGAGGCTCCCAGAACACGGGTGGAACACCGGAGGATCAACCAGTGGAAGATGATTCCGGATGCAGAGCTCCTCCTCGCTCAGTTCCAGCCTAACTTCGCACGGCCTCCAGTGTACTTGTCGGAGGATACCAGGGCCCAAAGCCCGAAAGCCGGCAAGGGATCCAAAGGCCAAAAGCCCGAGAGAAGGGAGGTCAGGGAGAAAGAGGCCCTCTACGTCTCGAAGCCAAGCCATGAGGGAAGCCTCAGCCTAGCCACTCAAGAAGCCTCCCCAGTCTCACCGAGCTTCTCGGCCCCAGCAGCTCCTGCACAATTTGTGGATTTTGCGGGATATCAAGCTCCGCTGCTCGTTCCCATCACCCCGTGCTCTGGTGGGAGCTTCGTTATGGCCCCAAGCAGCCCGACATCTGCCATGCCCTTCACCCCCAACGAAACTTCGAGCAACTGGCTGAAGATCCCCAAGCCGGACCTTGAGACAGACCTTAGTTCACCAGTAGAATCTTTGTGTTCCTCTTTTGTTTTGAGGAGTTCCCTTTAAGATTGAACAGTAGGAAGTATATGAACTTTCTTCTAGAAATCCTAAACCCTATATGAGGGCTCCAACGGGTGGCGCACCAACTCTTCCTTCGGCCCCGGTACTCCGGTGGCCTCGTTGCCATCGACGCCAAGATCCGTGGAGCCTTCATCCAGTACAAGGTGGGAGCTTGAGAAAGTAGGGGACCCTTAATATAGACTCAGAACCTTCAACTCCTTAATAAGAAATAAAAATAGTACTAATAATAATAACGATAAGAAGCAGAAGCAGAATGATAAATCTAATAACAATGGTAACCATATTCACAAACAGAAACATGATAGAATTTAAGATAATCACCACAAAAATAACAACAACGAGAATAGCAATAATGAGGGTCCCCTCCCAAAAGATACCGAACCAGAAAGAAAGCCCTAAGCCCTAAACCCTACCTGTGGTCCAACGGACCTACGTTTTTAGGCACCTATAGATAGAAACCATAACAAGGAGCCCCAAAAAGGTAGGTCTTTTAAGCCCTGAGGTCAGGTTCCAGCCCGGTTGCCGAAGCTGAGGGCTTGGGCTCGCCTGTGGCGGCACTTCCAATTCCGATCTCCTTGCTGCGGCCATGAGATCGTCTCTTCTTACTAGGGTTTAGGGGTTAGGGTTAAAGAGGTCGTCTATTCTTACGAGGGCTTAGGGTGTAGAGGTCGTCTATTCTTACTAAGGTTTAGGGTTTAGAGGTCGTCTAATCTTTCGCCAGTCTGAGGCAGTTTTCCCGGAAGCCCAGGCAAGTTGAAGAGCACTGTTTGACAGGCAGTGCGATACAGGACAGCTACCGAGCAGTGTCATGTAGGTTATAGACTGTCATGAACGTCGATGCTAGGCAGTTGCCTTCACTCATGCCGTCTTTACAGACGCCTGTGGTTCCCGACATGTCAAATTTTCCAGCGCATGCGATTCCACAGTTATCATGGCTTGGCATGGGCCAGGCTTCCTGCCGTGATGGGTTGCCGCATGGCAGAAGTGGTGCCAGGGTTTCTTTTCATGTGATAAACCCATCCCCAAGGGATGCTGAGCAGCCAGGAAGCGAAACAAAAGAACCGGGCTGCTCCCACTGCTCTGATCCATGCTGCGAAGCGGAAGAATCCGCGAAAGCTAAATTGTCGATCTGTGTTAGGATCTTGCAACAGTCTCACGTGCCAGAAAGCACCGGGAAGTTCACAGCGTACTGCGTCTCCTGCAAGCAGTAGGGGGTGATAAGCTGGTGGAAGGCGCGGCTTCCTTGAGCTCATGGACACCATGCCTCAGGTCTGTGGGAATTCCTATGATTCCTATGCATGCCTGTTTTTTGGGAGGGCTTAGGGTTCAGAGTTGACGTAATCTTCAATTCGACCGTGCTTGGAGAGGCCATGAAAATGGACTTCGCCCCCTACATTGAGCAGTTGTTCCCGCCTATGCTGATGGGAATCACAGGCACCGCGTTGCATTTCGGACGTTCAGGGCATGGCCTGAGTGGCAGCTGTAGTCGGGCACCTGTACTATCGGCCACTGGCGATGCGGCAAGATTTTCACTTCGTCTGCCTCTCTGTCCATCTGTCTGTCCGTTGTTTTGGTGTCTCTCTCTCTCTCTCTCGATCTCTCTGTCCCTCTCTGTCTCTATCTCTGTCTCTCTCTTTGTGTGCATGTGAGCGTTTTTGTCTCTCTCTCTCTCTCTCTGTCCGTTCGATCGCTTTGGCTGGTCTTTCTTCTCTCCCTCTTTCTCTTCCTGCTTTCACCAAGATGCCAGACCTCCGGACAGTCCTTTGCAGCTTGATGACTTGTAGAGGCGACAAAGATCAAAACGAGGACACCGCTGTTGCAGAGCTTGACTACAGGTCTTGTTTGTTGACTATTGTTGCAATCGGATCACTGGATCTGGAGTTATAGGCTTTCTCGCGGGTTTGGCTAAACAGTCCGGCAAAAAACTGCTCAGACAATGCTTGGTGCGAAGAACCTTCAAGACACTTTCGGACTCGAAGACACGAAGTCCGTGCTACCAGGGCATCCAATGCAATCTCCAGATCATCCGTTGCAAACCCAGGATCGCATCCATGCTACTCCCTGCAGCACCATGGAACAGATCCTTCCAGCACCCGATGAAACCCGGATGCCAAGCTCACCAGGATCCCGGCCACCGCGCTGCCTTAGCATTGGTGCAGCGTTTCGGAGACTTGTGCCGGGGCCTGGGGATCAATTCGCTCAGGTTTTCAGGGTTCGCGGTATCGGGGCGTAGGGTCGCGACACAGAAGTTGCATAGGATCACGACCAGCGGGTTTGTGGCCTAGAAAGTTGCAATGCCCTGCGCTTCAATACCGAAAAGAAAGGGTGCTTTGTGGAGCTCACCCGCCCTGAGGGGCTGTCCATTGCAGAAATCCACAGGCTTCTACTACACCTGCAGCTGCTGCTGAAGTTCGTCGTGCTTGTGCTGCTGCGACAGACAAGTGCTGCGTGGCACCACCATTGACACCACCAGGATCACTAGCACAGACGGCAGATTCCTGCCCCTTAATCGGATCACTGGCTTCATCTCCGCTACAACAACGGCGACGACAGCTGCACCTCTTGCTGCTGCTGTTTCTGCTGCTGATGTTGTTGTCCGTGTTCCAGCTCCTCCTCCTCCTCCTCCTCGTCCTCCTCCTCCTCGTCCTCCTCCTCCTCATCCTTTAGCCACTTCTGCTGCTGCGGCCAATGCAGCCTTGGCATCCTCGTGGTTCTCTCGTTGTTGGACGTCACATTTTGCTGGTGGTTTGTGCTTCACACCATGGCCAGGTCCTGATCGCTTGTTGGATGGCTTCGAGGGAACCTACTGCCGCACCCTGCAGCACGACTCACCGGAGGAGCCTTGCGGTAGCACGAGGTCTTGCTTTGAAGCGCTACTTTGAGCCGGTTCTCATTTTTATGGCCCGGCCGGCCCTTGGCAGCCTTGCCGCAGGAGGCGAGCCGGAATGCTGTTGTGAGGGAAAAGAATGTGGTGCTCCTCGGCAAGGCACCAGCAGTGCCGTTGCATCCGTCTCAGCCTCTTGGTGGTGCGTCGCTTTACTCTGCCTGATCAATAATTGGGTTACTTGCTGGTGCCCGCAAGAGCTCGCTCTCTCTCTCTCTCTCTCTCTCTCTCTCTCTCCCTCTCCCTCTCTCTCTGTCTATCTCTGCTTCTTGACGGGCGGTCAGTGGCCCGAAGCCAGGTCGCCGAAAAAATTCTGGAGCACAAGAAGTTCGGCCAAGACCTGCTCACCACAGAGGACACAGTGTGGGCTCGAGTGGACCGGGACGGTCTGGCTCCTTTTCTACTACTGCCATGACTGTTCGGTTCCGTGCTTCTTCATGTCCACGAGTCACTATTGCCAAGTGACAGCTAAGACCTGGGACGTGCTAGGCTGCCGTTGCTAGAAACCCGCTAGCAGGATTGCTCCAACAAGGCGACCCGTGAACGAGTCTTGGTGCTCATATTCTTGGCCAGGTGCTCTCGGGGAAAGCCAGGGCCCGATCTCATATAGTACGTGCAGAGAGCTACGTGACCCGATCTACTCAGATGAACAAGCTGCAAACGCAGAGAAATGCGGCTCTGTGCCTGAAAATACGAGGACAGCATCGAACGCATGTTGCAGTGTTTCGGCGGATTATCGATGATTTGCATCTGCCGGGTGTGTCTGTCTATTGCAGGCATGTGTCTGGACGGATGTGGTATGCTCTCGTTCTTATGTCGCTTCCTGCTTAGCTGTTAGGTGTTCGCTTTTGTTTGGGTTTTATTCGTGAAGCTGTTTCAAGGCACCTAGTTGCGCATTCGTCTGTTTGCTTACTTATGGCAGACATGGATGGAATGTATGTGCGTGCGTAGATAAGTTTATTTTTTTGTTTGTTCGGTTGGTTGGTTGCTTTGTTTTCTTGCTGGTTGGCTGGCTGGCTGGCTGGCTGGTTGGTTCGTTGGTTGGCTGGTTGGTTCGTTGGTTGGCCGGTTGGTTGGTTGGTGGGTGCGTTGGTGGGTTGGTTGGGTGGGTGGGTGGGTGGGTGGGTAGGCGGGTGGGTGGGTGGTTGGTTGGGTAGGTGGGTGGGTAGGCGGGTAGGCGGGTGGGTGGTTGGTTGGTTGGTTGGTTGGTTGGCTGGTTGGGTGGGCGGTTGTTTTTGTTCGTTTGCTTGTTTGGTTGGTTTCGATTCTTGTTTGTCAGTATAACATATACACACATATACACACACACACACATACATACATACATACATACATACATACATACATACATACATACATATATATATATATACACATACATATATACATACACACAAACATATGTAACTGTGTGAATGTGTGTGTGTGTGAACTTAGTTAGCACATGGGAAACGAGGGTTACTCCTACATCGGTCTGCTTTTTCGCAATTCAGGGAGCACACGCCCATGGTGGTACCTGTGCCAACGAAGCTATCCACGTTGAAAAAAATTAGAAAGCGGCGACTGACCACCTCCGTGTATCTGCGTGAATACTTGTGACATCTTGAACGTACACATGCAGCTAGAATACTCGCTGTACATTGATTATCTTCGTAGCTATTTCTTGAATAACTTGCAGCAGCCGTGGCTTGTGTGAAACAAAGAACAGCAACCCTGCCTCATCTCTCTTCTCTTCTTGCCTCTTGCTCTTGTCCAAATCCCACAAGTGTGTCTGTCTGTCTGTCTGTCTGTCTGTCTGTCTGCTTGCTTGCTTGCTTGCTTGCTTGCTTGCTTGCTTGCTTGCTTGCTTGCTTGCATGCCTGCTTGTTTGTATGTATGAATGCATGCATGCATAGCTGGATGGATGGATGGATGGATGGAAAGAATGTTCATGTACTTATCCAACGGATGTCGCATATTTCTTCTCTGTGGATTCGTCTTTCCAGCAGCCCGGTCCGAGTCTCTTCACCCTCTCCTGAAGCAGGACAAAGATGGATCTTTGATTGGCGCCCGTTTGACTCTGGGACTCTCTGTAGCTTTTTGCTGCTCCATGTACGATGCTTCATACGGTGATGACGAAGCCCCTCAAGAGCCAGACTCCAGACTCTAGAGGCCAAGCCATAATCTTTTAGCTAGAACTCCTAACTCCGTAACATCTGTAGGCCATTATATAGGTAGAGTTTGAGTTTTCAGGTACGATGCCGATGCCAGCGTGAAGCGCGTGGCCAACGGTGGGCGCTTTCCTTCTGATGCAATGTGCCACTTTTGGTTCTGATCTATTGGGTGGATTTGGGAGACACGTCCATGTGGTCGAGTCCAGATAGAGTCATTCTCCTTGTCTCAGCATCATGATAATGCTAGCATGTGTCAACGCTGTAGGCCTATGGAAGACGGCCGGGGGTGCACCAAAGGTGCAGAAGGCTATCATGCCTTCTGTGAGCAAGCAAGGGCCTCAGACCGTCCACTCAGTTACACAATGCATCGGGAACTGACACCACCCTAAACCCCTAAACCCCAGCACAGCCTCCCTGGTTGCATGAGCTCAGGACTCTTCAGAAGTTTCGAGGAGGTTCCAAGGGCCCCGGAGCGCAGAAGCTCGCGCTTGAGGCACGTCTGCCGCTTCGATGCTTCATTCGTATTTCTATTCCTCGTTCTAGTACTCCTACGAAGTCTGCTACTTTAGACTGCTGCTGCTGCTGCGGCTCTTCCTGATCCTACCACTATTGCAATGACGACAAGCACGACCACCAGCACTGCTTGTGCGCTGCAGGTGCAGATCTTGCTGCGGTGATACGACAGCATACACCACAAGCACCACCATTTACTTCTACTGTAAAAATTGTGACGATGGGCAATCGACTAGCAGCAACATGCGGCATCGCAGCCATCGTCTGAATCACACTACCTTAACCAGAATCGTGGCTGCAGTCAGTCACAGTTCCTCGCTACTGGTACTTGAATTCATCATCCCTGCTACTGTAGGACTCGGAATGCATAGAAATCGTCTCCCCTTATGGCCGCTATAGAATCTTGCGGTGGTAGGACGGAATTATGCTGTCCCATGGTACTCTTTCCCGGGAAGGTCCTTGACCAGCTCGTGAAAGCTGGAGAGCTGGAGGCGATAGAGGACGCTGTCCCCGAGGCCCGCCGATTCAGATCCCGAATCCATGGAGAAGGGGTCTAGGGTGTGAAACGGGGTTTATAGGGTCTTACAGGGTTCAGGGTCAGGGATTGGCTTTGAATTGTTTCTGTTAAAGTTTCTAAAGGTGTAGGGCTCTTGAGCTTTTGCCTTTGGTGTTTATTGTAGGGTACACTGATGAAGTTTACAGCGTTTATAGTGTTTAAAATAGTGCTTCTGCTTTGTTCGGCATGGCAGGCGCCAAAGTTCCAGTTTCCGCCGAGCGCAGAGAGGGCGTTCGAGCCTCGGAAGGCAGCAGAATGCTTGCTGCTGGAGCCCGTAGGCCCCCACAGGTCAATAGACGTACAAATGTATAGATGTATGTAGATGTATAGTCAAGTATGTATGCCTGCATGTACGTATGTATATGAGTATACAAAGAGGTATGTGTGTACGTATTGTATTGTATTGGATTGGATTGGATTGTATTGTAATGTAATGTAATGTAATGTATTGTAATTCAATGTAATGTAATGTAATGTAATGTAATGTATTTATGTATGTATGTATGTATGTATGTATGTAGGTATGTATGTATGTCATACCCCGGTAAATTTCGAGTTTGGAGCTCAGGGCCACAAAACACAGCAAGCTGGCTTCATCCTTGCGAAGACAGGGCCTGAAGAGTTAATATGGAAGCTTGAGCAATTACCAATACCGTTCCTGAGGGTTCCTGGTACTGATGATGACTATACTAGTAATAATACCCCAAAATCCTATTCTCATTGTTCAGGCCCCTATGTTACGGCTTGCTTCAGGAATTAAGGAGTGCCGGGATGCATGCTAGTACCGCGAGTCTGCATGAGCAGTAGCAAAAGCATGATGGTAGCAAACATAGCACACACAAATAGTTAGAAGACAACGAGTCGGGCCATTCATCGAAAGTCAAGACCGTTCAACGTCCTGTTCCTCAATTTCCGAGCGCTCGGGTAAAAGAAAGACAAGAATGTTTGACGATGGTGGCTCTCTTGTGCTGTCTGATGTTTATGTGAACATTTCAACTGTGAGCATTGCTTTCACCGATGTTGTTTCTGCCAGCCATAGGCTTATGATCGCTGTTGCTAGTTGTGTTTTAAGTTGCTTTTGCAAATAAACCGGTTTGCATTGTTGTGGTTCGACTTCGTACTTTTTGTTTGCCGGCTTGATTGCCTGCTTGCTTGCCAGTAGTAAATGCATTCGTAAACGCATGCATGAGCACTCAATTCATCATCATCATCATCATCATCATCATCACATCATCATCATCATCACATCATCATCACATCATCATCACATCATCATCACATCATCATCACATCATCATCACATCATCCACATCATCATCATCATCATGCGCCGTCGTCTCCGGTGAAGTCTGAGCGTAGTTAGACTCAGGCGCACTTGTTCAGGAGTCTTGCGTTTACCTTTCCTCCTCCTACTACTTGTACTACCACCACCACCACCACAACAACAACAAGGAACAAACAAAAACTGCAGCCCCGTCAACCCACATGTTTGCTTTTTGTCTGTACATTAGGTAGA